ACAGGAGACCACATTGGCTTCATTTGCCTTCAGCATTTGCATTGCAATACTCTCAATGTTTCCTGATGACATGTCTTGCTGTGATTTGTGCAACCTCTGCACATGCACACACATTGCAATCAATCTTTGGAATAACTTGAAATTCAGCATGTTGAGCAAATGAAGAACTGCATGTGCATGCATGCACACACACACACACACACACACACACACACACACTAAGATAAAACCCATCCCCTCAGCTATAAGTCTGGCAGGTTCATGTGAGCACGCACGTGTTGTGTGTTCAAGCTCACGCTGCCTGTTCCGTCTCAGATTGGCTGAGCTGGAGGTGACAGACACACCGAGGCGTGCATATGTGCATGTCTGTGTGCGGCCCCTCTGCTGTGAGGAAGCGGGTCAGAGCCCGAGGAGGCGATTGGCTGGCGAGGAGACTCACAGCATCAGCAACATCCTTAACCCACTGCCCTTCTTTCCTCCTCTCCAACCCAACACCTCCTCCCACTTGGCTCTGGCAGCATACTGTGTGTGTGTGGGGTATCGGGCACGCGCACGAACACATTAGCAATCCATCTCTCTCTCTCCTCCTCTTTCAAACGCGCGCGCACCCCCCCCCATACCCCCTAAAATGTTAAAGAATGCGACTTGTGGACGTGAGAGAGCAAATTAATTGGAATGTCAATATCGTCTGGCGACAGATGCTCCCTCTAAAAGCGCACACGGTTTAAAAGGTCAAAAATCTGCTGCAGCAAGGATGCAGGAATTAATTCCAATGTGTCCAAACACTTGCGCTCTTTATATCCATTGTGCATTTACCTTCTACTCGAAAGGACAGCTCGATAGACTAATGTGGTCCAGGGAATAAAATTACAACCAATGCAAAAAAACGCATCTTCTCAAACTAGACATGTTAGATCGAGTCTGATAAATGGCACATTTTCGGTAAAACACTGGTGCGTAAAAGGCGCAAACCGTGCGCTTTCTATTGCCCCCGACCTCGTGTAAACCAGCAGTGCTTCTGTCTCTTTCACTTCGCGACAAAGAGGTTGAGAGAAGAGCATCGAATGCATCGTCAAGCAAAGAGCCACATCATCAAGCCAGACAGCTTTGTGTCGCTTAGACTCTGCAGCAGCCACTCAGTAAGCTGGCAGGTATCAATGTATCAGAGGACAAAGACTGGAGGATGATAAGGAGATGCATTGTACAGCTTGGAACATCTAAAATCACAGATGAGAGGAGAGTGGCTGCAATCTGGTCCAGAAACCCCAATACATTCAGCAAACAAAGGAAGAATCAGATGAAGTGTGCAAATTTGATATCCGGTTGTATTTTAGTCATAAACACAAAATTTAATGATCAGAATCCCAGGATCAGCATTTCTCCACCTGTCTCCATGTGCATTTCAGGGTGTCTGTGCCAAGTGCGCGCACTGACCGTGTGTTGAGTTGAAGATGTGCGCTCCACACTCACCTCACAGTCGTACAACTCGCTGAGCTGCTCGATGATCCACTCCTCCAGCACGAGTCTTTTCCGCAGCTCCTTCCTGTCGTACTTCACCGTCACTTTGCCCTGCTTCTTCTGCACCGGGTCGTCCCCGGTGATGGGGCCGGAGCCCACGCAGCCCACCCCGGACGCAGCTTGGAAGAAGACGCGGCTGCCGGCGGTGGGCAGAGGGGCACTAGTCTCGGTGCTGGCGGCCGACATTGCGGGATGCAGGGGGGGGTTATTATTTCAGAGAAGTGTGTGTCTGTGTGGATGAGAGGTGGGCTGCAGTGCTGGGAGGTCGTGGGTGCTGCACGGCAGACAGGAGACTGGTGAGGGGCTTTTAAACAGCTGCTATTTAAAGCGCAGCGCCGGAGACAGTCGAGGAGGCGGAGCCACACTGCAAGAAATGAGCATAGGTGCTTGTCTTGTTTTGAAATAGATGTTAGTATTTCCCATGATACAGAAAAACTCATTTTCATTCAGAGTGGAATCATATTACTGAGTTCAAACAGTGACATTGTCCATTCTGCTACTAAAAAAGGCAAAATATTGAAGGAAGTTCTGCAAAGAATTTTATTGCAATCTCTTGAATTACCCTTAAAAAAGATTCCATCAGCAGTTTGTTGTGTAGATAACATTAGTAAAGGTGTCTATTTTTTGCAGTGTGCAGCCCAGTTCCCTCAGTGGTGCTCCTCGTGCACCAGCACGCAGGAGCTGGAGCACAAGCAGACACTGGAGAGAGCAGCTCCTCTATAACCATGTGTTTGTATGTCATTATTTACGAAACTATTCATGTTGGGTATTTGTCTTGCTGTGTGATGTACAGATGTGAACAGGATTGGATATACTCACCTGAAACTGGATCACCTACATGTATTAATATGCTGATGTCTCAACCCAAACGCAGGATAGACGTCGAAGGATAACGGTTGCACCCCCTTTTGGTCATGTGGAGTATTCTTTCACATGAAACAAAAAGAAAAAAATATAAATTAGGCAACTGGATCATTTTGTTAAACTATTCCCCTGACAAAAAACTTCACTGAAAACACGCCATGCAATAAATGATCAAATTTTCTGTTTAATCTAAGTATATAAGATGATGCAAAATAAGCCATGTACAGTATAATGACTGAAAATCCTCTGATTATCATCATCATCACTTCCATCTGACATCAGACATCATGATATTGTAATAATTATTTCTTGAATGTGGTAAAATTGCTCAGGAAACAAGGGAAATTGAGGGATTATAGATAAATCTGAAGTACACAAAAAAGTGATATAGTAATTATAACAATGTAAACTTTATACTTTGACCTCATAACACAGTAAATGATTAACAGATTTAGTTTATAGCACAGTAAAGGAACTTATGATAATGTTGCTTATATGGTGGCCATGTATATGATATATTGTGCTGCTCTACATCAGTCATCATGTCATGTAGCACCATAACCAACATCAGGGCTGCTTATAAATATGTGTTCAGAGTCACATCACAGGAAAATGAAAAATGACAGACTCTCCTCAGGTTGGTCATAGATGTTCTGTTGTGTAAACAGTTTTATCCATAGCTGATCTGAGGCAACCTGTTTGCCCTCTTGGCAGCCTCCTGCACTGACGTCAGATAACAGTAATAGTGTTTCATAACATCAGGTCAGCTGTGCTAGACCGGAAAAAAAACAAAAGTCAAATACCTGTATCCTCTTCACTGCACTCTGCCAGGCAGGCAGTCATGGCTCTCCTGTCCATCCTCACGCCTGCTCTGGTGGTCGTCCTGTGCCTGGTGATAGGATTCATGCTGTTTAAGTCACAGGAGACCACGTCGACTTCTCCGGCCCAAACCTCAGCGGAGTCGAGACCTTGGGTGGACCAGGACCTACAGGACGATACAGAAATCACAGCAAAGGAGGACGGTAAGAGAAGAAATTTTACTAACTTGGCAGGGCTGAACTCCTTTTCAGTCTCAAAAATACATTTAAATTAACATTTGTTCCATCACAATAACAGAAAATGTATTTCATACAACATACACGATTTAATGTCCTGTGTTGTTGATTCATCGTAAACCACGGATGTCTTTTATTAAACAAACTGCCAAACATTGGTAAATATTTCCCATGATCACACATTAACATCTGAGCTAATCACACATTAACTACCTCTCTTGTTTTCTCTTTGCTTTGGAAGCAGATAGAGCTTCTTTTGTTTGACTAACTGTCTAAAACCTTGAAATATTCAATGTACTATCACATGTGACAAAGATGAAACAAGATCTAGAAGAAGCTTCATGGGCTTGATTGAATTTAAGGTGACTGTGGGAAGTTAACGGAGGTTACTACCAAATCTGACTGCTATTCTAGTTCAGCCTTGCTTTAGTTTCACTCTACTACACCTGACACTACACTACATACTCCCACATGCACACTGCTGATGTCGCTAAGCACATCTTCTGCTCATCCTTCTGTTACAATAACTTCTCTAGTGGCCTTTTGGCTCTTTTCCTGTATTTGGTCTGAGGGCCTGGTTGTGACTGCTGCGTTCCCTGTGGTTATTTTATTTGTGAAATTTTAGCATGAATAAAAATCCTGCTCTTTCCCCAAAGCAGACATTGGATATGTGTCAGCTACAGTATGTTAAATTATTGCAACTATATCGCCACCTTTTCAGTGAAGGAGCTAAAGATGTTAGATAGGAGGTGAGTGTCTGTTCTCAGTGTCTTTGACTCCAGATCTGACATTACTCAACTATAATCAACTTATTATTATTATGCTATAATAGTGGTGACATCAAAATATCTAAAGAATCACTTATCATTTCATTATAAACAACAATCTGACAGAGCTTTAATATAACAATGAGAAAGCTGTCCCTGGTCTCTCTCCAATCCATTCATCATCCTCTTTATCCCGAACTGCTCCCAACATGGACTTCGCCCTTTGCTCTGGTCATAATTTATATAGTTAGCACAGGTCACCTCATAACAAATGATAACTATGGGTTGTAATGAGCTGCTATTGATGTGGTATTTCGTTACGTAAAAACACTGTCTAACAATAGAATAACAATAGAAAATTGTTATATGAATAACATTCATTTTTATTACCAATTTAGAAGTTTATCAGAATCTCCTCACTGCTACTGCTTTTCTGTCATTGTTTCAGAGGATGGTGACTGGGCAGACAGCAATGAGGAGGAGGACCTTCCACATGTGCCCTTCTCTCTGCCGCGTTACTCCGAGGAAACGATTCTGAACAGAAGCAAAGATTTCTACAATCTGATGAACCAGCGGAGGTCTGTCCGATTCATCAGCCCAGAGTCGGTCCCACGAGAAGTCATCGACAATGTCATACGCACTGCAGGCATGTAAAAAGGACCACTGTCAATCTGCCATAATGCTTTGTTTGTAATTTGTTTCTGTATATTTGCACTGCTTTCCCCTCTGGGCAGGTACGTCCCCCAGTGGTGCACACACGGAGCCCTGGACATTCGTTGTGGTTTCAGACGCAGAGATGAAGCATCAGATCAGACTGCTGGTAGAGGAGGAGGAGGAGATGAACTATCGTCAGAGGATGGGGGACAAGTGGGTGCAAGATTTGGCTAAAATAAGGTGAACACCAACACTTCATTCCATAGTACGCTCTCTGTACCAGAATTCATACACAATGATTAATAGGACCACTGTGAAGTTTATCCTCATCTTATTTCACACATCTCATCTTTTTATTTTCTCCTGCAGGACGAACTGGATTAAGGAGTACTTGGATGTGGCACCATACCTGATCCTCATCTTCAAACAGACCTACGGGATTCTACCAAATGGCAAGAAAAAGACACACTACTATAATGAAATCAGTGTCTCCATATCCTGTGGAATCCTACTGGCTGCACTGCAGGTAAACAATTAAATCAATCATAGAAATATGAACCTCCATCTGTTTTCTTGGTCAGTTCTCAAGAGCATGCAAGTTAGAACTGCCCAATAGAGCAACTGACAGATTTGCTCCATTTGCTCAACAGAATGTCGGTCTCGTTACCGTCACATCAACTCCCCTCAACTGCGGCCCCCGGCTCAGGCTGCTCCTCAAAAGGCCGACCAATGAGAAGCTGCTGTTGCTGCTCCCTGTAGGTTACCCTGCATCTGATGCCTCCGTGCCGGATTTAAAACGCAAGCCTCTGGATGGAATTATTGTGCATGTATGACAGGATCAATCTGCAGAGGAAATAAAGGGGAAAAGGCAAATTATAAGTTTCATCTTCTTTAACAATGCATTTACTTGAAATGACTCTAAAAAATTTTTATTTTGCTTTGAGTCATAAAAGCCATTACAACCATGTTCACCAAGTCTCCACTTCCTCCCACTATCCAGAAATGAGGATGAAACATCCCACAAACAAGCACCATACAATATTTAAAAGAGCATTCAATACAATCATAAAAGTTCCAACAGTCCATCAGGAATGTGATGCATTAAACATTGGACCAACAGTACAAAACCAACTCAGCAGAAGTAGAAGAATCTGCAAAGAGGGGGAAACAAGGTCGGTCATCAACAGGCAACCAAGCACATTGGAGGGAATAACCCTGCTACATTCAGGGCACAGCCACACAACAACTGGATGTACTTAATAAAACCTATCTTTTTCTCCACAGCAGATCAGACACATCAGACAAAGAGGAATTAATGGCCCACACCTGTCGCAATAAAGGTGGGGAGCTCTCTAATCCCACCTACCAGGGCGGTGCTCCAAAACAGTCCGCCCTCACATAAGGAACGATCGTGTGTGCATGTGCAACTTGTCAACACACATGACAAACTCCTATTCAATAAAATTTAAATTAATTAAACCCTCAAATGTTACAAGGAGACAATTGCAATCTATCTACCCACCCACCTATCCATCCATCCATCCATCCAACCATCTATCTATCTATCTATCCATCTATGCATCCATCCATCCGTCTGTCTGTCCGTCCGTCCATCCATCCATCTATCTATCTATCTATCTATCTATCTATCTATCTATCTATCTATCTATCTATCTATCTATCTATCTATCTATCTATCTATCTATCTATCTATC